AGGGCCCAGGGCGCGCGCGGGGCCGGCGGGCCGGCGGGTCAGAGCCCCAGGGCCTCCGCGTGCTTGCGCGCCTTCAGCCGCAGATCGGCGATACTGGAGTTTTTGCTGTTGCTCTTCGCCGCGGCGGCCACGACGGCGGCGGCCGAGGCCGACTCCGCCAGCGAGGCGATGGGCAGCCCGAAGGGCGGCGGCGGGAACATCAGGTAGGGCGCGTGCGCCGCCAGATGCGGGTGGAGGTGCGGGTGCGCGTGCGCCACGCCTTCCAGCTGCAGCTGCGCCTGGACCTGGGATGGGAGACCGAGCGCAGTCAAGACTTGGGGGCGGGCTCTCCCGCACCGAGGACCCCCCAGACCAGGGGACCACCTCCCAGTGTCAGGATGAGGGTCACTGCGTGTTCTGGGGAGGGGGGCGCTTTCCTGCCCGGAGGACCCCTCCCCAGACCAGGGCACCACCCCTAACCAAGTGACCACCCACCAGGGACCACCCACCAGGGGACCACCACCTACCAGGGGACCACCACCCAACTGTCCTGTGGACACCCAGCGTCTGGATGGAGGTCATTTCCTGTTCTGAGGGATGCTTTCCTGCCCTGAGGACGCCCCCCAGACAAGGGGACGACCCCTAACCAAGGGACCACCCACCAGGGGACCACCCCCCAGACCAGGGGAGCACCACCCACTGTCCTCTGGACACCCGATTTCCGGATGGGGGTCATTGGCTTTTTTGGGGAGGGGGCTTTCCTGCCCCGAGGACACTTCCCCCCACTAGGGGACCACCACCCTCTATCTTGTGGACACCCTGTGTCTGGATGGGAGTCATTGCCTGTTCTTGGGGGGGGGGGCGCTTTCCCACCAGGAGGACCACCTCCCAGCCCAGGGGACACCCCCCCTCCACCAGGGGACCACCACCCACTCTTCTCTGGACACCTGATGTCTGGATGGGAGTCACTGGATGTTTTGGGGAGGGGGGGCTTTCCCACCCTGAGGAGCTGGGGGATCTGCACAGTTTCCCGGGCCCACCGCAGCTGACACCCCCTCCTCACCCGACTCTAGCTGATTGTCTGAGGTGCCCCTGGACTCAGGGTCCCACCTCTAGTTCAGGCCTCCCCCACCCAAACACACACCCCCTTCCCACAGACCAGTATCAAAATCTTCCAAAGGAATGTTTACCGTCTGAGCCACGGCATTTTGTAAAAAAAAATGCCAAGCAAAGTTCCAACTTGTACGGGCTTCCCTGGTGGCTGGGATGCTAAAGAATGTGCCTGCAATACCGGAGACCCGGGCTCGGTCCCTGGGTCGCAAAGATTCCCTGGGCCGGGAAGATGCCCTGAAATAGGGGATGGCCACCCACTTCCATAAAGAGCAGAGCCAAGACTTCGAGCTGCCATGACCTCATTTCAGAAGGCCCGACGCTGACCCCACGCCTGGGCAGCTGCCCCTGTAATAGCCAGGGGCCGTTACAGGCCTGGGGCTGGGGGGGGGGGCGGTGGGCCCAGCCCTGGAGGTTGGGGGCGAGGTCTGAGCGAGCAGGGTGCCGACCCCTCCCGGGCCCACAACCCGGAATCCCTACCTGCCTTCAGCCCCACGGGAGTTCCCGGCCGAAACCACGGTGTCACCCCTGGACGACCCTCTATAGTGAGACGGTCCTCCATGTTCTCACGCCTAGATGCCCCTCCCCCCGTCACCCCTGGACGACCCCCTGCCGTGTTACCCCAAGATGACCCTCCATGGCAAGACGGCCCCCCCCAGTGTCACCCCTGGACGACCCTCCTTAGCGAGACGGCCTCCCACGCTGTCACGCCTAGACGACCCTGCAGCCAGGTCAGACCCACAGCCCTCGCGCCCCTCAGCGCCCAGGGGCGCAGAGACAACCCCCAGGCGTCCTGCTTGCTCCCAGGGCCAGAGGACCCCCGACGCCCGCTCCCTGGAGTTCACACTCCCACCCCCCACGCTGGGCCCGGCCCCCCAGCGTGCACGCCCCACCCACGCTGGGCCACCCCGCACCAGCGTGCACGCCCCCCAAGCTGAGTCCCCGCCC